CACATATGAGCAAATTTACTTTGCAATTGTGTTTGAATTATTTGCAATCGCAAGTAGTTCTTGAGAATTAGCCTACTTCAAAATATGTTTTCAAACGTCAAGCCGCATTTTCACGTGTCAAGTAGCTAAAGCGAGTTACTAAAGCAAGTAACTAAAATTTAGTCCGTTCGTTTTAGTGAGCGTTCACATGTGTAGGTACCTGCTTTGTTGTTTAGTTGTTTAGTACAGATTAAACATGGCAGGAAAAGTGACGCGTGCAGCAGTGCGAAATTGTATATTGACGTTATGTGGCGAAGTATCCGAAATACTTGCAGAAGAAATGAACAAAAACAAAAAGAAGCGTTGCTGGGTACGTAAATGGCTGAGTAGAAGAGAAAGATATGGTGCTTCATCTACGTTATTAAGAGAATTAGCAGCTGAAGACGCACCAGAATATAGAAATTGTCTGAGGATATCTCAAGAACAGTTTGAAATATTGCTGGCTCAAATTGCGCATCAAATTACGAAATACGACACTGTAATGAGATCGGCTGTTCCAGCTAGAATAAAATTGGAAATCACATTGTCCTATTTAGCCACAGGGAATAGTTATAGAACGTTGCAGAGGTTATTTCGTGTGTCAACACCTGCAATCTCCAAATTTATACCCGAGGTGTGTGATGCTATTTTTGAAAGTCTGAGAAAATATATAAAGGTATGTATTTTTTGAATATTTTTATTGCGAACAAGTTGTTGATGAACAAAACATGTTAAATATTGGAAAAAGCATGTGCTATCATCTGTGATCTTCTAATATCGTCGTCATAGGTAAGATTTGCTTCTGCATGGATTATAGTGCTGAAGCCATCGCTATACGAAGAAGGCATGTCGGAATATGTAGGGGACTGCATTGGTGTAGAGATGGCAGATGGGGCGTTAGCNCGAAGGTGGGAGAGGCAACTTGCTCAAGTAAATAGAACTTTTTCTATTCACTTGACTAAACAGTTTACTAAATTATGTACTTGCGCAAGTACTAAATCAAGTTGTTTACACCATACAAGTTACTAAATTTAGTTACTTGCTTTAGTAACTCGCTTTAGCTACTTGACACGTGAAAATGCGGCTTCAAAGTTAATCATTGAAGTGACATTTCATTTGGAAATACAATATATTTTTTCAGCAAGCTTTTTCTTTGAGGAGGAAGCATTTTTTCTGGCCTTAGTCCGAGAAGTACGTACTTCCCGGAATAGGCCGGGAAGAATCACATCGTTGTTATTGTAAATACGGTGAGTATGGATTTGTTAAATGCATTATCATAGCAAAGAAATAACGACTGTCAAGCTATTTGAAATGAAATTCGTTGATATTTTGATTTTTGAAACTTGCATGGTTTTTGTTGACAATTTAATGTGTTAGGAATCACACGTTAAAAGGTAAGACCTCGTTAGTCCATAGCTCGCACAAGTTTCTCAACTTCTGAGAGTTGTCGTTCGTATGGGGGCGACAGCTGATTACCGAAAAAACAGATTTTTTTTAATTAGGTATCGCAATAAACTATGGAAAGCACCAGCGATAGTTTGTGAATGTGCTTTACGAAATTTCCAATGCAGCAGCTGCTGCTACAGCATAATTATTGTCTGAAAAATCTTAGTCCAGGTACGAGAATATTCATGATTTGTTCTCGAAATAGATGGATGTGATGAAATGCAAAACTATTACAGAGAATGTTATTTTGGCTTATTTGACGCAAAAATTTGAAACTGTCAAATTCTGTATTTTGTGGATCATGTACTTCATGAAAAGTCCATTTCAGTGAAGAAAAATGTAAACATAGCCACTTTCCCAAAGGTTGCTCATAGAGTAAATAAATCAGAAGTCTTCAACAGCGAGCAAATCAACAACTCCATTAGGGAAGCAAATAGTGAAACATATCCAATGCTTAAGGTAATTTTAGCCAATTATTACGATTGTAGTAATTAAAAGTATTCATTTGCTTTATTTTCAAGTGGCAACAATTACTGGGATAGCCGGTGCGTGTAGACGGAAAAAACTAACAGAAATTTCAATTGATCTAATAAACGATAAGAAAGACATATTGCTAGTGAAAATATGTACCAAATTATAAAACACATTTATTACATCTCAATATTCATTTTCACGGACATCCCGTATTCCATATAACAGATTATTCGTGAGTTACGATTCAGTCTGTTGGTATCCGCAGTTTTGGGAATCTCGAATTAAGAATTCCAGAATTTTTGAATTTACCCAATCCTGAAATTTACGAAGGCTACAGCAGTCGTTGAACTTCAACGACGTTATTTGCTGATGATGGTGGAAACATCACAAATTTGAAGAATCGTAGTGGCTGGAAGTCGACCAATATCGCTGAAGAATATATAGACACTTCACTTACTTACTTACTAACTTCACTTACTAACAAAAGTAAAATTGTCAAGACCATTTGAAAACTATCAGATGAAAACAATCAATGTGAAGTGGAAACTTCTTCTGACTTCAACAAAAGGCATTTAAATAAACCAAACATTTCGAATAACTTGAATCTCTTCAATGTTAGCAATCGCTCGAATACTCATATGAAGTCAATATAAATAAGAATGTTTCTGTATCTACCTTCTGTTCAAATTTCAATATTCAATACGAATAAGAATTAAAATGTTCGATATTTTATTCTACAATTTTCCAAAAAAATATAATAAAGAAATGTATTTCATTGATTTGTTTATTCTACACGGTTGCCAAAAAAATAATGTGTGCAACACGTCCGAAAACAGGTTTTTTGTATCTCAAGATATGTGATGGAGTCAACCGATACTTGATGTTAGTATAGACACACGCCTGAAGAAGCTATTGAATAGCGAAACAGGTGTTGTGTTTTTGTAAAACTTTTTAATGAAAGAAAATCTCACGATAAAGTATTTCCTGAATAGTATATATCACCAGAAATATGTAATATTTGAAAAAAAAAATACTTTCCGAAAGTTCTTTACTTAATAACAAAATGAGAGTTACTAGATATTCAAAGAGCTTTATGTCACAACAATTTGTAAGCTTCTTTCTGGACCAGTTGTTAGAACGCTGTCGTGGAGTACCGGTGGACCTAGATTCACTCTCATCAACGATATATTTTTGTACCACTCATTATTCAAACTATTTGAAATTGTGTAAAATAACAGGATGCTTCTTGTTATGAAATTTAATGACATTTATCTAATTTTTGAATATTTCGGTTATGGGTCATAGAAAAAATATATTTTACTCGTAAAAAATGACAATTACTCGCTCGAAGAATTTACGATACTCGCCTTCGATTCGCGTCGAAAAATTTCATTTTCACAAGTAATAGTCACATTTCTGGCTCATTGAGAAATATACTATTAAGTTAGAGTTGCAATAGATATTTTAACTTGCACATTTTTCGAGAAGTACAACTAGAACTGAGTATTCTTCTAGTCTTCTCAGGATTTACTACCTTCTCACCAATTATTTGCTATTTGTTATGTACACTACCGGTAGTTGTGAATTCAGATACAAGTTTCCTCAAATATTTTCTACAGATAAGACGATTCGGAAAACATTGAAAACCCTTTCGGATTCGTGAAATTTACGCGAAATGGTACCTTTCTACTAGTAAAACCGAAAACTAAATGAGAATATTCTAACTGAACAATGATGTTCATTGTCGTACAAACATTTCTTAACTTAACAAACCTTATCGGGTTGTTGGAACTGCCATATGGCAGATAAATAGGTATATTTCTAGAAATATCGATATTCATGTGTTTGTCTTCAGGAAATTATCAAATGTTCCGCCATTTTGTAGTAGGTGAAGTTATTGACTTCATATTCTGGAGTTGTGAAGTATTCGTCAGGAGCTTCAAAATGATGTCTCACAAGACCCCCCCTTTCAAGATGGCGCCCAGTCGCCATCTTGAAAGTTTCATCTGTCAATTTCAATGTAGCCGTTTTCACGTGGTAGGAGATCATCATGGGAAATGAAAAATAAAACTTTCCATGTTTTTTAACCACTTTTATTCGTAACTAATGTTGCAGTTTCGTCCTATAAGGACATTTTCAAACAATTACAATGAACTGAAAATAAATCATAATGTTCATCCTTATATATTTCATATCTCATTATCAGAGAAAATAATTTCAGTTGTCATCAACCCTAATGAAACTGATTCATCCAGTGAAGAATCACTCAACGAATCCCTGTAGACTTTTTTCAGGTAACAAATTATCGCAATATCTTATTCGATGTAAGTATTCCCAAATTATAATGTTTTGATTTAAATAGGTTAGATAAACAAGATGGATAGTTTTTAAAACGTCAGCAGATGATACATATTCATTTTCAAATGTAGTAATTCTTTGCCCTCTCTTCATTTGAATTAATTTTTAAATTTAATATTTTGATTATTCAATAGCTTTGTGGATGGTAACAATCCTAAATAAATAACAATAAAATAAAAACTATTTCAAATATAAATTGTCCTTCTCAAAATAAAATATTTAAACAAATTTTATTCACGATATTTCAGTTATCTTCGCATCATACAGAATATATCATCGGAAATCAACGCAATATGAAGAACAGCGTCGGCCGCCTCTTCTAAAGTTGTTTGTCAGAAGTCACTATTTTAATGGCTCGTTAGCGGCGTCCTCGAAGGGTATAGCGGATAGAAATATCTTTGTAACTTTGTGGATGAATTGCGGTACCACTTGCTTTCTTGAGACGATTATGTTGCTTTCTTTGATGGCATGTTTGCATTCTTGAAATTCTTTTACTCTCGGACAATACCGAATGTACTATAGTGAAGTCGAATGTCTTTATTTATACATTGTGTACGTATATTCTTCAGTAAAAAGTATTTTGACTGAGAGAAAGGATAAATAGTGTATGTTTCATTACTTTCAAAGATATTTTAGTTAAGGCACATTCTTCAATAATGTTTCGAACCAATAAGATTATTGAGGAGATGGAATAAACAAAACACTGACTGGTATTAATTTTAATTACAAAATTCTACATATAAATCATCTTTTAACCAAAAATCCAACTTGCCAGAATTTCAACTCCTTTAACTATTATATATTTCATAATGAATTTTGCTGCCTTTTTGAAAAATCCTTCCGTCTGGTCAGTGTCCTCATCGTCTGTTTGCCTTTTATTTATATTTCTGACAGAAATTGGATCATTAACTAAAATACATGTAATTTTTTTATTTCAATCTAAATTTTTTAAACTGAAGCAATTTGAACAATATTACAAGTGAATATAATATATTACAAAAAGGCGAAGGAAAGGGAGAAATACTTTGCAGAAGCATGCTTCTTAGGTTTATAGGATTTAAAGACAAATTGATCATAAAAAATGATTACTGAAAACATCTTACTGCATTTCTAGTATTTCCGCTTTTCCTACACACACTGATATTTTTTAGAACTAGTTTTAACCAAGTCTTTGATATGTATCACTTGATTATTTAAATATATAATCTTAATTGCTGTCTGAGTTTATCCATTTCAAGAATCTCTGCAAAAGATCCACCACAAACTTAGCAGCTCTATCAAAGAATCCTTCGCTCTTTTCTTCTTTATCAATTGAATCGATACTCATTTCATCCACTTCAGATTGCCTTTTCTGTCTCAACAAACCATCCCCTGGACCTTCAACTACAATTAATAATATCTATGATTGGTTGCATTCCCATTTTGAATGAGTAATATGGACATTGTGACTGATTATAACCATTAAAACACGATCATATCGATGAGATTTAATAATTAACGCGGTGTAGTAAAGTCACCGTTACTGCTTTCTGAATATTTTTTATAAAAAAATTAATATATTACGACTGGAAGAGAATTTACAGTAAAGCTAAATTTTGCAAGGAGATGTGTTAAAAACGTATTCTTCTGAAGGAGAAAAAATTATAATTAGCTGGTAGCTGTTATTTATCTCTAAGATGAAAGTATGAAATATTTACGGAAAAACAACTAACTCAGTCAAAGAGATATTTTTTTCTATCCAAGAGAACTGTAAGATTTGATCAGCATTTTATTATTTATCTATTTCTTCATCTCACCCAGGTATATTCTTCAAGGACAGATAAAACCAACTGTCGCATTCGAATTCTTTGTAGATATATTTGCGCTTTAGTTTCATTCTGGTGAGAATCACAAGGCAGTGAAACAAACAAATTTGATCATGTGAAACAATTCGTTTTTATACTTATTCAGCAACCAACCGAGAAGCGGGTATTTCCTAGACGCTTTTTGTTTGAGAAAGTAACATTTTTCCGGCCTATTTCGAGAAGAGTATTTCCAGGACTAGGCCGGGGAGAATCACATCGTTGTCGTTGTAAATATGAAAATCTTGATAGGTATGGTTTTGATAAATGCAGTTAATCATTACCACAGCAGCGAAATAATTACTGCAAGCTATTTGACATGAAATTAGTTGACATTTTTTATTTTGTAAAGTTTGCTTGCAATTATTGCAATAAAATATTTGAAGCCGCGGTGATAGTGAGTTTGAAAATGTGCCTTGTGAAATTTCCAATGCAGCAGCTGTTGGTTCAGCACAATTAATGCCTGAAAAATGAAAGTCCAGGTACGAACACATTTATGATTTGTATTTTGGTTGGTTTCCGGGTTTTGCCGTGGTCTTTTTTTGGTTACAATCTCCAAAAGTTTCAACTGCAACTGCGGCAGTCATCTTCAGTGGCGTGGTCGAAATACCAACTCTTCTTGACGTATCAACTGAAACTGAAGCTCTCATGTCATTTATAGTGGTGATTTTTCGCGCACTTTCTGCAATGGCGGATTCGCGCGTACTTCCCCGCGCAATTTGGGTGACATGTCTTCGTTTTTGCGCCTTTCAATGCTGTGTGCCAGATCTTTGGTAAATGTGTTCTCTCTTCCTTTCTGTTGAAGTTATATTGGTGTTTGTTTATTTCTATGGCTTCTAAATACATTCTTGTTGAATAATAATTCAACGTTGCTAGCTTTTCGGTATTTTAGAAAAATACCTTGTGTTTCCCATCGGACATTGGATGTTCAGCGACTGCAGACTTCGCGGTCTGTACCAATCGGCAACTCCACTTGTGCTCGACAAGGCGGGTACCCATGCTCCTTTTAAAAAAGTAATTAATGCAGTTTATTGTATGATTTTCACTGTAAAGGGTTTTACAAAAACCGCGACACGTGTTTCGCTATACAATAGCTTCCTCGAGCATAAACCAGTTTATGCTTGAGTAAGTTATTGTATAGCGAAACACATATCGCGGTTTGTTTAAAACCCTTTATAGTGAAAATAATACAATGAAATGTATTAATTAGTTTTTCAATATGGATTTTCATCAAGTATCGGCCAGTTCTATTCAATTAATGCTCCGTTTCGTCTGACCGATATAAAATTTGCCACAGTTACATGGAATCCTGTGAACTTCCGCTGATTTGAGTGGATCTCTGCTATATTTTGCTGATCTCAGATACTCCAATATTTTCCTCGTTGGTTTGAAGACGGTGATAATTTTCTCCTCCTTTGGATTTTTTTCGATTCGATTGGAGTCACTTTCTATGTAGACACTGTCGCATAGACAGTGTCTTGCGGTTGCTCTTCACTGGTATTCCTCTTCTTCTCTTCCTTTGAACGCGTAGCACGGTTTATGTTTTTTCTGTCGTAGCCGTTCGCTTGTAACAGTTATTAGGTGTAGACGACGATTCAAAACACGCGTTCAAGGGAGAAGAAGAGAAACACCAGTGAAGAACAACTCCAAGACACTATCAATGTGCCATACAAAGAAAGTGTCACCAACCAAATCGGGAAAATTCTACAGGAGGAGAAAATTAACACGAGGAAAATATCGGAGTATCTGAGATCAGCAAATGACAGCAGAGATCCACTGAAATCAGCGGGAGTTGACAGGATTCCATGTAACTGTGGTAAAGTTTATATCGGTCAGACGAAAAAGAGCATTAGTACCCGCCTAGTCGAGCACAAGCGGAATTGTCAATTGGGACAGACCGAGACGTCTGCAGTCGCTGAACTTGCACCGTTCGACGGGACACACAGGATATATTTCGAAAATACCGAGAAGTCCATTAACCTATAGTGAGGGGAGTTGAGACTGGCCTGAACGAATTATTCCTATACATGATTTGATAGCCAGTCTTCAAGTATGCTCACTGACTATATGTGAAAAGTTTTCTTTCCTTTTACAAGGAATTGGGCAAATTTCGGATATGCGGATGGTTACCTCGTTCACAGGCAGATGGGGAGATGACAAACCTGTTGTTTGTTGGCCGCTTCAGCCTAGCTCGAGGAATAACACTCTGACGGAATTCGATTTTCAATTATCGGAAATTATCGACTTTATGTTGATGATAGACACTACTTTGCACTGATGAGTGGCCAAACAGCCCGAAACCAGTCTGCAAGTGTGTTCCAACAATTGAAAATTCATTGCGGCAGTCTTCAAGTATGCCCACTGACTATATGTGATAAATATTTATGATTTCTTCTCGAAATTCATGTTTATTAAAAAATGAAAGAGTATCATAAAGACTGCGGCTGTAGCCGCTTTCCCAAAAGTTATCGCTTTTTTTGAAAAGAAGAATGTTAATGGTTGTTATAGAGTAAATAAATCAAAAGTCTTCAACAGCGAGAAGATCAACAAATTCATTAGGGAAGCTAATGATGGAACATATCTAATGCTGAAGGTAATTTTAACAAAATGTTACGATTGTAGGATATAAAAGTATCAGCTAAATTTTCTTCATATTCAGGTGGGTTAGCCGGTGCGGAAAGAACTAACAAAAATGTCAATTGATCTAATGAACGACAACGAAGACAAGTTGCTTGTGGAAATATCAGATTCCAAAACATATATTAAGAGAATTGTTGTGTTTGGTCAAGAAATCCTGCTGTTGTATAGGCAATATTCATATTTACGGCGCGATAATTCGTGAAATCCAAAAAAGAAAGAGCTGAACAAACTTCTATAACACACACAAAACAAACATCTAGATTTAAAAAACCTTATACATTGCATTTCAACCAATATTGAAACACATTTTTTCAATATAGTAGTTTTCAGTTAACTCGTTTAGTGATCCAATAATTTTTCTGATGAAAGATTGGTTGGGTAACAGGATCAACTTTTTCTTAAAAAAACAATTGTGTCCTTGCCGACGTTTCGAATTTAATTAAATTCATCTTCGGAGCTCTGTAACAATAAATTTTCAAAAACAAATCGCCTACAAAACTTATACCATTATTATCGTTTCAATACTACAAGAAATAATGAGTTCGTATTTGAATTGCTTACCGAAAAGTAGTTTTTTCGTGTTGATAATATTACTATTTTAAAAACCATCATATATTAGATATATATTGAAGAAATAAAAAAACATTGCAACAGACAAACTTTTGAGACAACACCAATGCAAAACGACATTAAACAAACGTAGTTTTCATCGAATACAACACAAAATTTGTTTTATTAACGTTTCATTCAATTTCTATTGTTTGAGGAAACCAAATTGCTCCTGAAAATACAGGGTGATTCAAAAGTACTTTAACAAACTTCAGGAGGTGATTCCTCACAGTATTCTAATATGAATTGTCCAAATAAATAAATGTCCGGAAACGCTTCGTTTCCAAGATACAGGATGTTGAAGTTTTATTTTTATTTTACTGTTTCTTTGTCATTTATGTTGAAATAAACATTGTAAAGAAATGAA